CTCCCTCCAATTTTCAGAAAAACATTAAACTGTTTCTGCTGTTTCTGGAAACTGTAAGTAGAAGAAAAAAGTCTTATCACTGCTGGCATTGTGATCTCAAGGTTATAATTACTTTGCAACCCAGCAATTTTCTTTGTATACAGGATGAATGTTTGGCTACATGTTTAATACAGCCATTTAAAGGGAGATTTGGAAGGAAGATGTAGCATTTTTTTGCTTGTCTGTAGCCTGATGATTCCATAAGGAACTAGTGTGAAGATTATCCTAAATACTAAGTATTCTTCTATTGACAATATTTTATCTCAAGTAAGCATAATACATTGCAACAGTTTTAATCTTTTTTTTTTTTTACTTTTCTTTTAAAAATTTTCTTCTAGGTTTATTCACCCAACTGAACATCTCCCTTCAGAAAGTTTTCATAAACTATATTAGATAGTTCAGAGAGGAGATGAATGAGGTTCTTAGACATCTACAAACATCCAGGGAAGGACAGAAATTTCTCTAAGGCAAAGGAGATAATTGGACAGATTTTATATATCTAAGCATTGTAGCGCACCTCCCTTTGTCGCACAAGGGATGGCTGTAGTTTCTGATCGTCAAGAAGAAAATATTCTTTGTCATTTCTGAGGTACATCTTCTTTCGAGGGCTACTTGATATTGCCTAATGTTAGTATGTATAACATTAGCAGTCCATGTATTCAGCTGAAACAACAACAAAATTGAGTTGAGTAGTGATGTAGTTATAGTCGCTAATAAATGGATACAGCGGTCAGTTCAGATTTCTTTAAAAACAGTGATACTTGAATAGAGGTTTGTGGCCTGTTTTACTAAAACAGTTAACATATTTGTATACTACTTTCTTTTCATAGATGCTCCAACATTTGTGTCAAATCAAACCATGTATTATTCTTGGGAAGGCAATCCCATCAATATAAGCTGTGAAGTGCTAGCTAATCCATCTGCCTCAGTTCAGTGGAGAAGAGGAAAATTGGTTTTACCTGCAAAAAATACAACACATCTGAAGACCTATAGTGCAGGAAGAAAGCTGATTTTAGAGGTAAGGCTTAAAATGGAAATCAGCATTGTGGCATTACTAAATTTGTTTCTCTGTTTGGTGCTATTGCAAGTTCTATGCAGTCCATTTAAGGATAAGATGTACAATTTAATAAGTAAAGCTCTTTAAAAAAAAACCCAACTATGTATGAACTGATTCATCTCCACGTTTCTTGTGATCAGTTAGAAAATAAAGCTTATTTGCATGACTTACCTTCTGTTCTCCATCTGCTGTGAACACTAATGTAACTTGTGTTGCTTGCAAGTAAGTGCATACATAAATAAATGTAAAACTAATCCATCAAGTTGATGCTAAAAATTAAAATGAATGTCTAATAAGTGCTTGGTCTGTACAAAAAGATTTGTGTGGCCTCCAGTCAAGGTTAAGGCAGCATAGTAAAGCAATAGTAAACTGCATTTGGGTTTGATGACAATAATTTTCTCACAGAGGCACTGGAAAAATGAGAACTAAACTTCCTTCTCTTATCTAAATGCTGTGCTTGAGAATGAAACCTGAGAAAGACAGAAAACAAAGAATAGGTTTTCATTATCCAGCTAGTCTATTAACTTGACTCAGCAGTGAACTACTCGGAAATAATGTACAACAAATCATTGTCCTTAATTAATCATTTTACTACATAGTCTGTAACTACTATCTCCACACATGGTCTCTCCTATTACTGGGACTACATACCCTCTATTCCATTAGAGACCTTCGGGGAGAGTTAGTTTTATCCTTTTATGTCTAGTATTAGGAGCTTGAACATAACCTTCTCAGTTGCCATGCGAAAAGAGGTTAAGAAGCTATACCACTGATCAGAGTGCGCGGCTCACTTGAGGTCCCAAGTGACAAGCGTACAGTGCACTGAAACAAACTGTGTCTTTTTCCTAAAGTGCAAACAATTAATCTCGTTTCTTGACATTTACAGTGAGCATATTAGCATGAGGAAGCTTATTTTGCTGTTGCTTTTGGAAAAAACACTACTTTTACTAGAAAAGCCTTGTTTTCTAAGAGATGTTAAGGAAGTGCTTCGTGGGGGGATTGGGGCGGAGGGGAGGAGAGAACATATTATGTAATACAGTATCAGAATACAGTATAATGACATTCATTAAAAAGCTTAAAATTAGCAACAGACTTATGCATGTATATTGACAGCCATTTTCATTCCTTCATGTTGGTACGAGAGATGTCACTATGAATGAGCAATTAAAAACTGTTATGATGTTTGGTTATGAGGTGATCTCTATGTATCTTGGCAGAAATGATCTCACAGCTTTTCTCTACAATTTGTACTTCATTCATTATCTCCATGACCTTCCTTTTCTAATGTGTCAGAAACAACAACAAATGATTGAAAAGTTATGTAAAAACTGATGAGAGATGGGCTATGATAGCAAATTATTTTTCTGCTTTCTGTAGATAAAAAAGTATATTTTTTACATGTACGCATATTTTTAAAAAGTCCAATCTATTATATTGTGAGAAGAAGATGACAGCAGGAAAATATTCACTAGTTTTAATAACTGATTCTTTTATTTTGCCTGAAAAATCATATATAGCTTCTGGCTTTAGTGAGTTTACTCATGTTAGCTGAGTCTTGGTAACCGTGTATGAGCATGTATTTATCTCATCAGAAATGTGGAAGTAAACCATATTAACTTTTAACCCTTAAAGTAAGGGTTCTTTTGAAACATCAGTTTTTGACAGGTTCAAGCATTAAATTGCACAGAAGAGAGAGGGATTTGATAGCATGCCATTGGTAAAGCCACAACTTTCAGTGAAACAATCTCTACAATTCCTTTAAACACAAGTTTGGAGTGACACTGAATTCTGTTCTGCTTATTTATACAGGTTGGCAGTTAACACACCTTTTGGGTCCATTTTAACATATATTTTCAATAAAGACACATATTCCCCAGAAGAAACTTCATGGAGCCACTATTGCCTTCATAGAAGACAGGTTTACAAAGGTTTCATGATACAATCTCTTTGTTTGTTATTATTCCGAAACCTTGTGCTCCTCCCTAGCAATTTATGGGTTTGGAAACCCTTTACATCCATATTTTTGTCAGGTGTTTTGAATCAGAACAGGGGTGAAGATACCTGCCTTTAGGCTGGGAATTGTGGTACTTTTTAGAGCTAAAATTTGTGCTGAAGGAGTGGAAGTGAAAATGCTGGTTAGAAAAACACAGACAGCCATTGCTTGCTATCATATTGTTGTTAGAACTCCTATACAGATTGACATTAGAATCCTAGTTTTGTAACTCTCTATAAACCTGGAGTAAAGGGGATAGATTTAAAGAAACTGAATCTTTTTTTTCATTTGAGGGTAATCTTTCAGGTTTTTTGACCTAAAGTAAAGCTTTCACATAGCATTACGTAATGACACAAAATACATTGCAGCCTTTGACTTTTTGAGTGCTCTTATGGGTTCTTCACAACTGAAGGTATCACCTCAACAGCTGGGTAAGAGAGTGGATTCCAGCAAGACATTAGCTCCCTGTTGCAATGGTATCTATAATTTGTTCTGTCCTATCTCCGCATTCACCTGACTATATGGCTGAGCCACATTCCTTATATCTTTTCCCTGAATGTCTGGTATATTGTGAATCGTTCAAATAATAAAAAGTGAAATATTATCCTTGCATCATCTGTAGCAAACAGCAATTTTCAGACTTATCATTGCCTATTTCAGTCAAAATTTGCATCAGTATCTGCAAATAGTGTATCCATGAACAAATGTGCAATTTATTGGATTTTCTTCCTTGTTTCAAAAGTGAAATTGTAAAGATGAACAATATCACCACTTTGCTTTATTTGGTTTCCTCATTTGAATTTGAAAAGGGGAATTTGTCTTGAAAAGGATGTGTTTAGATCTGTATTTTGTGAAATATCCTCGATAGGATGAAGTAAGAACACATCTGCATATTGGTTAAGCAGAATATATTTACATTGCTAAGTTTTTACAAGAACTTTGGTATTTGATTAGAAACTAATAATTACAAACTGTATTCATTTTAAAGATTGCTCCCACATCTGACAATGATTTTGGACGATATAATTGTACAGCCACAAACAGAATGGGAGCAAGATATCAGGAGTATACACTTGGTCAAGCTGGTAAGTAAATAAGTTGCTTCCAAGATTCTTTAAATATTTCTTTTATTTTTATCAAAATGAAGTTCAGACACACTTTCTTGGGATCGTTATTTTTCAATGGAATGTTGTTATTTTTTAATTCTCCAAAAGTGGAGTAGAGTAAAATAAATGCATTCATTCAGGATATGAATCTTCTTTACATTTAGTTTTAAGCCCTTCTAATATATGAAAAAGCGGAATTAGTCTAACTTTTTTCTTTACCCCTATACTTCTCAAATTTAAGAAAGATTAAGAAAGTTTTTCTGTTTTCTCCTGCATTTTTGTGAGAAACCCAGGATCACAAAAGACTGAAATACTTCAGCAAAGAATTTCTTTCCCATGTCTGGAGATAGAGTACTGCATTCTGTCTTCATTTGCAGTCTTAATTATTTAATAGCAGAATCTGACCTAGCAAGCTAGATTGAAGTAATTCAAGCTCTGAGATGTTCAGTGACCAATTTAGGTAGAATTTCTGGATATTTTTTTAGGTCCATCTACCATTATTTTAGGAATATATGAACATATGACTGTATATTTGTTCTTTGGGATAAATAACTGTTAACTGAGAGTTTTCTAGCATTTTTTTCAATGATATTTTCTTTTGGAATGGATCAATGCTTGTTAAGCAATCTTCAAGGTCTCCCAACATGTGATGTACATACTTACAGGATGTAAATTATTCCAGCTTTACTGACATCTATGGAATTATAATCCAGTTTACAGTAACAAAGACTACATCCCTTGTGATGCATTGCTATGATGGATTTCTATCATGTAGCTTTGAGTGCATGCCATACTGCCTCATTGACTGATACATTCGAAGGGGAGAGGTAAGAACTCCTCTAATAAGGACTGGAGACCTTTTAGCCTTGTGCTTTTTTAAGTAGGAATTGTATATTTTTTAAGATCTTGAATGTTTCAGTTGTAACTTTCAATTATATGTTTTAAAACTTTGATTTTGTTTTAATAAGAAAAAATACTCTTTGGAGCCCTACTAGCAGGACCTTTCTGGGTGAATTGCTGAAAGGCACATGTCCAGTCATAGTGCGGCTACTTTACATTTTAATTCCTTATACTGTTGCACAGCAGTATAATTATTTTCTTTTAGTATCTCAGAGTTGTAAAGCACAATTGTTTTGTTTATTAAGAGATTTGTTAGATATAAGTTGTACATGGCTTTGAAAGTCTTTCCAATTGCCTTAAAGGAAAGATTACTGGTATACCATTTACTGTTAATATTATATGCTCTTTTAATCAGTGCTTAAAACAGGTGTGTTTTCTAAAGTAGGAAAATGTAATTTTTATCATGGTTTTACTTTGTCCACAAAATTTGTTCCCCTCTATTTGATAACTTTTTCTGATATTAGCTGTGTTGTGAATCCACTCTTCCTTTGATAGCTACGTGCTACTAATTAAAAAAGTATTATCTCTCCTTTTGCATTAAAACATTCTTCATCCCAACTACTTTTCACGCAATGAAACTCCTTACTTTCCTCCTTACAAAATATTCCCTAGTTTAAGAGTTCCCACAATCTGACCCATACTCAAAACCTAAAATCATTTTATTTTTTGTGAAAAAAAAAAAAAAAAACAGAAAAGACCAGTTTCTAGAACCTTCACTCTCATGATCATTTCATTTATCTGGTTGATCTCATTTGCTTTAGTGGAAGTACTTCAACGATTAAGTTTCCATAATTGGGCTAAAATTATAACTGTAGCAGCTCATCATTACTAAATAGACCTTTAAATATGAAACATGTATATTCCTTTTGACGTGTTAAAATCGAAGTAATATTAGAAGAGCTCTGAGCTTTAAATGGATTAGCAATTAATTTATCTGCCAACTATTCTGCTTCTAATTAAGAAGTCTCATGACTTGTAGGAAGTTAATGTTGACTTGAATAGGTAAACTACATGTATTATTTGTATATTACTTCTCCTCTCATTTAATTTATGAAATCGATTCATCCCTCTAAAAATTCAGGACTTGATTTTGTGAATATTCATGACATAGGATTTGCAGAGTTGTATTAAATTCGTCAAAAATTGGACAAACAAAAGGACTGCAGCTACCCCTTAATTTTGGTCAGTTACATGTATTTCTCTTCAGCAGCATGGCTTTCTCTTCAGGGCAAGACATGCATCTATTGATTCAGCAGTGCTACTCTAGTCTCTGAAGTGTTATATCTAAGGTTTGATACATACGAGGCTTTACTGAAAGACAAGAACAGTAGGAAAGGCAGCATGGAAGCTGGCAGAATAATTTCTCAGTTCCTCTCAAAAACAGAAAATTTGCGACTAGAAGTCTTTTTTTTTTTTTTTTTTAATCCATAAACATAGATATTAGGTTAGTGAAGAAGTAAACCCAGGTGCATCCTGTGGGTGTCCTACCACCCAGCACAGTAGAAGATGAGAAGATAGAACATTTATGCTAAAGCAAAGTGAAGAAGTCATGCTATGGTTATGGCTGTGCGCTGTTTTGTCCTCATAATGATGTGTATACATATAGTAGTATTTCAGCAAATATTTTATATCTCCTGAAATTTTTCTTAGATGTTCAAAACAAAATATCGCAACACGATTCACTGACACAGCATGATGATTATTTTTTGTCTGCCTGTGTGGCAGCTTGTAATATTATCTTAGCTAGATATTTCTCTCTGGTCTTTGAAAATAATTAATTTTAATATAAGGTAATTCTCATTATTAATTAAAAAAAAAAAGTGATTTTTTTTAATTTAACCATGACTGTGATATTTTAATTATGGGTTTTATTTCAGCAAATAGTCGTATGAGAGACCCTGGAAATGCAACTGAGAGCAAATACTGCATACAAGCTATAATTCTGTTTCAGGCTTTTAATGCAATTGCCACAGATGTTACTGATGCCAGTTTTTCAAACAGCTTAGTATTTTCTACTTTTGCAACAATTTATTTAACATTTCAGTCAATTCTGCACAAAAACTTGATCAGCTCATTTGAAAAATGTGTTTGATTTAAAGGTAAATCAAGACATATTTAGTGAAACAAATAATTACGAGAAGTTATTATATTAAGCATCAGCTATATATGGACATTCTATATGATGAAATAAGATGCAAAAAATAGGAACAAACTTGGATTTTGTAGTAGTAATAGTGCATATGTATCCTTCATATAAGTAATTTTAAGGTGGTATTTATGTTGGATTGGAAATACTTTTTTTGGGTATGTCAGGGCTCTGTTGTGCTAGGCACTACATCCAGTAGTGTAATGCATTCACTATCCCAAAAGGTTGATGTTGTTAGCACGGGTACCCAAACAGACTTTAAAAAGAAATGCAGTAAATAACAAATGTAGTTCACTGCTGCAAGTTTTACGCTTAAGCTAGTATCAATTGGAAATGAAAAATAGTCAGGGAGACAGAGGATATTAGGGGCTAAACATCAAAATAATCACAGGAATAAATTTTTTTCATGGGTTTCAATACAGCCTGGATTTCCTTCTGACTTTGATTTATAAGTCCTGATGCTGGAGCATAGCATACTTCTACAATAGATCTATTAGGGAAAAATAAATATTATTTCCAGTTGGGTGATATTATTAAGCAAAGTATCTTGCCAAGGGTAAATTTTACAAATATAAAGATTGTTTTACTGAATTGTTTTCTCTTAACATTCTGCAGGAATGACTACTTGCTTCATGTTTTGTTCCATTTTCTTTTTTTTGTTGTTGGTTTTCAGCAGAATTGGACTCCTTTTTTTTTGATTTACTGCTAGTTAAAAAGTGATATGGTACTCGTTGCTGATATCTTTATTTCTGTTGCCCTCCTTTAGAGATTATTGATGATAGAATAAGGTATCTTTCAAAATAGAGAAGCAGTTTGCAACCATACCATTTTGTACAAGAGAAAAACTATACCTATTTACTCTAATTATACAGAGCTACTGAGTCAGCCTGAACTCCAGACGTTTTCTTTAAAGCTTTCAAAACAATTGAAGAACTGCAGCCTATTCGAGGTTTAACACTGAAAAGGGTTGGCCATTACTTGCGAAATGCTGAGAATATTCAGCACTCACTGAAGGCTTAAGATTTAGAGGTGCTCAGCACCAGACTAGTGATGATGAATTTTTAAAAATACCAAATGGTTGGCATCCTCCTTTTTCATTGCTTAAGCATTTGAATTACTGTTTGAATAATATGTAGAATCCAAAAAACACATTCTTTTTCATTCCTTGGCACTACAGATGAATAACTTCACGTCACAAACACAGCTTTTATTCTAGAAGTCTGCTTATACTCTGTTTTTTCTCTATGACAGGCTTAGGCTTTGGCCAGCCAGGTGAGCTTGGCAGATTGTTCCAATGGCTTTCAGAGCCTGAGGTGAGCAGAGATATTCCTAGATTTGCCCGGATCAAATTTAATCATAGTTTATGTGAAATATGAGTATGTAGGGAGATAGTATTAACTATTATACACACATTTTAACCTTTTTGTTGAGGTCTCAATATTGTTATTTCAAATGTTTTTGGATAGGTGAATAGAAAATTGTGTTGCCTGTGATAATCTTTTACCATGTTATTTGAATGGATATATTATTATTTTAAAAAGATTGATGTTAAGTTGTGACACAGAGGGCTAAACTGGATTTTTAAAGTTATTTTTTCATTTAAATACTAATGTGTATTTTGCACATAGCACTATAAAGCTGGGCCAGAGCCCCTACAAATGAACCATGATTCCCTTCTATGACTCTCACGACCTTGTTCCCTGCACAGTTCCCTTTCCCTTTCTTTCCCCTATTCTATGATGCTAAAAGGTTTCTGATTCACCTTTTTACCTCAGTCTTTCTTTCAGTCTTTGCACCTGGGAGGATACTTGCATTTCTGATGAAAGCTGAGAGTCTCATCTCATCACATCATGCCTGGAACTGCAGCTCAGCATGGAGACCTGCAGTAACCAGGTCTTAACATGAGCAACTGTTGGCAGAAGCCATGCTAATA